AGTTACTAATTGTTGTTCCGGACCACTTGCTACAAAAGCGTAATTCTACAGAATCACAAACGCCGACAGCGTTAAGAGGAAAGTGCTAAGCCCTAAAAGTGATGTCTTATAAACTAGAATCTACTTATACATATAAAAGAAAGTCGTCTTAGTTACACCATTTATAACTCAAGAACGGCTGAACCGATTTGGCTGAAAATTGGTAGGGAGGTAGCTTACAACCGGGAGAAGGACATAGGATACTTTTTATCACGTTCCACGAGAAAAACGTAGTATATGTAAACGCAATTGACATGGAATGACAAAACGCAAATGACAGCAAGTCGAAAAAATTATAAATCAAATCATCAGTCTAGCCGTTCATTTGTTAAAAATGGTATAACAAAACGCAACTGACAGCTAAACGTAATGTTGTCTATGGTTAAGTATGGTGTTTTATTTATAGTCAGATTTACTTGAAACTTGGCTTTAATGCTTTTTCATATAAAATTAGTGTCATGCATACCCAGGGTTGCCATATCTAAAATTTGGAAATCAGGACAAGACGCGTGAAACCCCCGGATTTTAGAGTCCAGAACCCGGACATGTCAACAGGTTTTTTTAAACATAGTCAGTGTAATAAAAACAGTTGAAAATGTCATAAATCGCCTTTTTATTTATTCTCAGACCTTAAAATTAGATTTAGTCATTTTTATCATCATGTATCTGACAGCTAAACGTAATGTTGTCTATGGTTAAGCATGGTGTTTTATTTATAGTCAGATTTACTTGAAACTTGGCTTTAATGCTTTTTCATATAAAATTAGTGTCATGCATACCTAGGGTTGCCATATCTTAAATTTGGAAATCAGGACAAGACGCGTGAAAACCCCGGATTTTAAAATCCAGAACCCGGACATGTCAACAGGTTTTTTTAAACATAGTCAGTGTAATAAAAACAGTTGAAAATGTCATAAATCGCCTTTTNGCTGGGTAAAGACTGAGATAGTGTATCTTCTATTGGGATCCGTCAAATGGGAAGAGCCTAAAAACATGGCGCCGATTAGGGAAAATTTATCGTAGATTACTAGAACAATAAGTCTACTAACCCATATACCTAGCACAAGGAAAAGAAAGATGCATGCTCTTATCTTTCTCGGCTGGTCGCAGGTAACTAACACTGCTGGTACTGGTACTATAAAAATTGTGCATCTTTCTCTCTATTTAAACAGTTTGTAGAGTGTGACCCCCTTTTATTGCTATACTACCGATTGCTTCACGAATCTTAAATAAATAGTAATAAAAGATTTACAATTTTCACTTTATAATCCAAAAGCGGCAAAATTAAACTGAAGCGACTGTGGCATTGATTGAAAAGCACCCGCTTCTCCCTCTTTTATTCCCCCGTGCTCGTTTCCGGCGCATTCAGAAAATGACTCACTTGGTCAAGTAAAATATGTTATTTACCTAAAATACCCCTGTAGTTTGCAATTAATTTATTACCAAGTTTAAATACTTCTTCGTTTGTAACGAAATCTCACTTTTTTCCAGGTTCGCACTGCAATACAGCAACCAGGTTTTATAAGGGTGAAAAGGGGTTATAAGCCTCTTAAAGTCGAAAACTTAGTCCACAACATTGCACCTCACGATGATCCTACAGATCCCTTCTTTGGACTACAGTGGTATCTTAAAAATACTGGTCAAAATGGGGGTAAACCAAAATTAGACTTAAATGTTGAAGCAGCTTGGGCACAAGGAGTTACTGGAAAAAATGTCACCACAGCCATTATGGACGATGGTAAGAGTTTTCACATTTATTCAAGTGATTTTGTGTTTATAAGATCAATGTATTTGGAGACACTAAAGAAAGTTAAAATAATAAATAAATAATATAACTTAAAATTAACATAAATAAACAAAACTTTTGGTAAATACTTTGGTTTAAAAGTAGGGCTGGATCTAATATAAAAATAGGACACG